AAAGAAGTTTTTATCCTGTGGTGACACAGGAAATTTCTAGTTTAGAACTGCTTTCTATTTCCGTGACTTCGCAACAGAACAACAGCACATACTACTATGACAATGATATCCTCAGGTACTGATTATGGGTTTATTCAGTGTTAAATGCTCCTAATGTAAGTTTGAACACTATTTTACGTGACATTTATTGCCATAATACTGAAAGCAGCAGCAGATCTTGAAAATAGAATAATTAGCAGACGATTTGACAATGAAAGTCAGAACTGTGATTCAGTGCAAACCAACAACATCAGTCACTCAGTAGCCTATTGATAATGTTCATAGCTTTAATATGTATTAATTAGATTAAAAGCCTTTACCATTTCATTGGGAGTGCAGTGGATATTATTTAAATGTTTCTGTTGCGTCACTTTTAGTGCAAACAGACAAATAGTCTGTCTCTGGGATCTGGTTGGGACATGGTGTAAGTCAACAGGAGGGTTAAGCTAAACTGAAGTGTTAGCTGAGAGTACCTTTATGTACTCTGGGTGGCAGATGCTCAAAGACGTGCTCCTCCATGCTGGAGCGATGATCATCAGCTTCTGGTTCTCCTTCATCTCTGCGCTCTTCATCTTCACCGTCAGACTCCTCATCAGCTCCTTCAGCAGCGGCGGCCAGCGCTCGATGCGGCCCTCGATACTGTAACAGACCTGAAACACACACACACACATAGTAAATATACTCGTCTAAAGCGATCGACAGCTTCACAGATATGAATGTGGATGTTGGGAAAGGCAGCAGGAAGATTTACTTAAGTCAAGTCACAAATATTTGCATGTACAGTTGAAGTCAGAATTATTCGCGCCCCTTTGAATTTTATTCAAATATTTCCCAAATGATGTTTTACAGAGCAAGGAAATGTTCACAGTATGTCTGATAATATTTTTTCTTCTAAAGAAAGTCTTATTTGTTTTATTTCAGCCAGAATAAAAGCAATTTTTAATTTTTTAAACCTAATTTTAAGGTCAATATTATTAGCCCCTTTAAGCTATAATTGTTTTCGACTGTCTACAGAACAAACCATCGTTATACAATAACTTGCCTAATTACCCTAACCTGCCTAGTTAACCTAATTAACCTAGTTAAGCCTTTAAATGTCACTTTAAGCTGTATAGAAGTGTCTTGAAAAATATCTAGTGAAATATTATTTACTGTCATCATGGCAAAGATAAAATAAATCAGTTATTAGAGATGAGTTATTGAACTATTATGTTTAGAAATGTGCTGAAAAAAAATCTCTGTTAAATCGAAATTGAGGAAAAAATTTTCAGGGGGGATAATAATTTTGACTTCAACTGTATATAGTGACCTATATGACCATAAAATTAGTTTTGGTTGAT